CTTTTTATACAGAAGAACTCAATTAGTTACAACTGCTGTTCTTCCCCACCTGTATCTGAGGGTCAGGGAGCGGTCAGATCAAAGGCTTCCACTATTGCAAGTGTTGTGAGGCTCTCCATATAAACATATTCCTCCTAATAAGGCAGATTAGATACTGGTGTGCATAACACACACTCAGTAAACAAGCCTGACACAGCTGAATGATTAGCGGCTCCCGACACTTTGTTTTGTTTTTTAAGACAGGGTCTCCCTGTAGCACCAACTAGACTGACCTCACTGTGGAGATCAGTCTGGCCTCAATCTCACAAGCAACTTGCAGCTAATAGTACTGAGTGTTCACTTAGGAAAATTCATGTATATTTCTTTGTTGTAGGCTTGCTGCTGCCTCCCATATCCTGGGGTTGTAGCCTGCCCCACAATGCCCAGCTGCATGCAGATTTAGTTGTAAATGTAGTTGTTATCTGCAGTGAAGTGGCAGTAGCAGACCTGAGCATGGGACTAGAGTATAGAATCAGTGGTGTTCATACAGCTAAAAATATAGAGCAAGAACTCCAAGCTGGTAAAGTGGAAGAGAGAAGAAAAACAGGACTGTTGGCATAGGCTTGTCGACCCTCCTACTGGGGAGGCTGAGGCAGGCCACTGGAATGTTAAAAAATCAGCCTGGGTAACTTCATGAGAGCTTGTCTCAAAACAACAAGCATGTAAAAACCAACACTGACAAGACGGCTTAGCAGGTAAAGACACTCCCACCAAGCCTGAGTTCTATTGTCTGACCTGAGTTCTATTGCTGACCTGAGTTCTGTTGTCCTTAGACCTCCATATGCATGTTGTGCCATGTACCCCCCATTAAATAAATATAATAAAAAATTTAAAAATGAAATTTACAGCTGGGTGGGGTGGTGCACGCCTTTAATCCCAACACTTGGGAGGCAGAGGCAGGCAGATCTCTGTAATTTCAAGGCCAGCGGGGTCTTCATAGTCAGTTCCAGGCCAGCTGGGGATACAGGAAGGCTCTGTCTCAAAAAGTCAAAAAAAAAAAAAAACCAGAAAAAATGAAATTTAAAAAGGCATGATAGGGGCTAGAGAGATGGCTCAGCAGTTAAGAGCACTGACTGCTCTTGCAGAGGACCTGGGTTCGATTCCCAGCACCCACATGGCGGCTACAAACAATTCTTAACTCCACCCAGTTCCAGGGGAATCCAAAGCTCTCTTCTGACCTCCATGGCATTGCATGACACAGGTGGACTCACATACATGCAGGCAATACACTCATACACATAAAATAAAAATAAAATATTTCTTTAAAAAAAGGCATGATCATACATATCTGTAATCCCAGCCATTTAGGAGGTAGGAGGGAGGCAGAGGCAGGCAGACCTCTGTGGAATGGAGGCCAGCCTAGTCTACATAGCAAGTTCCAGACCAGTTGGAGCTACAGGGAGACACTGTCTCAAAAAAAAAAAAAGGACAGGAAATGGATAGAGCCTGTGAAACCTACTTTATGCCACAGATGAGAGAAAAGGATCATTTTACATGTCTGGGTTAGTGGTAGGTTAAAGACAAAGTTGAAACTGAGTGTGGTGACACATGTCTATAATCCCATAATCCAGTAGTTTGGAAGATAAGGCAGGAGGATCTCTGAGTTTAAGGCCTGTCTCCTTTGTGTGTGTCCAAATTACCAAGCATAGTAGCTCCCATAATCCTCAACACTCACTTGGTCAGCTCAGGCAAGATGACTGCTGCAAGCTCCAGTCCATCCTGGGCTATACTGTGAGAGCCTACCTCAGAAAAACAACCAAAACAAAAGCAGCTGAGGGACAGGGGAGCCTCTGGAACCCCTGTGTTAATGAACCATGCTTCTTCGATGGCTGCTCTTTCTGGTAGGATCTTGCTTCTCGCTGTGGCATATTCGCAATTTGTGTCTTAAGCTCCTTGTGTTAATGGGTGTTTTTCTCTTTGGAGCAAAGGCGGCTTCAATGATCCATCCCAAAGAAGTGCCCCCTGAGGCCATCTTGCTGGCAGTCTACCTTGAACTGCAAAATGGTGAGTGATCCTTTTTAGGGCTTGTCCTTCAGGGAGCTCATGGTTTTTGTGATCTGTTTCTCTTGAAATTCAAAACTCAGGACCAGGCATGCTCGTCTAGGCCTGTAATTAACAGCATTTGAGAGGCAGAGGCAGGAGAGTCATGCCCATCTCAAAAACAAATTCAGAACCTCATCATCCTGGAAATATATTACCCTTCAGGTTTTCCTGAATAAAAAATTTAAGGAACCAACAAAATGGCTCAGCAGGTAAAGGCACTTACCTCCCTAAAGTGCAAGCCTAATGACCTGAGTTTGATTCTCAGAACCCATGTAAAGGTGAAAGAGAGAAGTGACTCCCAAAGTTGCCCTTTGACTTCAAAACACACACCATGGCACACATGCCCACACACACATACACAAATAATAGTAAATAAAATTTAATTTTAAAAAGGTAAGGGCTGGGGACTGTAGTTCAGTGTAGAGTGCTTGTCTAGTGTGCACATATAAGGGCCTGCATTCTGTCCTTTATACTGCAGAAAGAAAAAAACGTTAGCGAGGCCTTGGTGTCATACAGATTCCTACTTAAAAATTAATATTTCCTTTTATCTATGAAAACTGCAGAATATTTACTGACATTTATAATTAGTCCCTACAAATTATGCTTCTCTTAGGCAGCTAAATGACTCGCCATTGAGAACATGAATCAGAATGCCAGTTGCTTTGAGTAGTACACTATAGGCTTTGAGCAGATGTCACTAATGAGTTTTACAGTCAGCCCATTCTTCCAGGAATCTTTTATCAAAACATATATCCAAGTCGTGCCTCTGGAGGGGGTGCATGTGAACTTACTGATGGGTTCACTAAAAGGAATGCTGTGGAATCTGGGCCTAGTGGTTCACACCTGCAATATCAGGTATTCAGGAGGTTGAGGCAGGGGAATTCAAAGTGCAGGTCTACAGGTCTGCCTGAGTTATAGAGTGAGTTCAGGGCCAGCCTGGAAAAATTATCTCAAAATACAAAGTAAAAATAGATCCGTGGATACAGATCATTGGTAGAATTAGAAGGGAGGAATGTAGGGACTGGGGTAAAGAGGGCTAGCCAGCTGTGCTTCGTGGCTCATATTTTTAATCCCAGCACTTGAGAGGTTAAAACAGAAGGATTCCTGGAGTTTGAGGCCATCCTGGGCAACATAGTGAATTCCAGGTCAACCTTGGTTAGAAAGATATTGTCTCAAAAAACAAAATATATGGAGGCTGGGTATGGTGGCACACACCTTTAGTCTCAGCACTTGGGACGCAGGAGCAGGTGGATCTCTGTGAGATTAAGGGTAGCTTGGTCTACATAGTGAGTTCTAGGCCAACCGGGGCTATAGGGAGGCCCTGTCTCAAAAGGAACTATATATATTTATATATGGACTAGGAAATAGCCCAGTGGCAGAGCACTTGCCTAGCATACTGCTAGATGTGACACAGAGCATGCTGCACATCACTTAAATGAGAACTTGTTGTGGGCAGAGGCTTTGTGTTCCAGTGCACAACCAGGGCTGCAGAGCAGAGCACAGGTGTCTGGGCCAGCTTCACCCTTGCAGGGTTCTGATGATAAGCTCTGTACTGTGGTAGTGCTTTGCGCTTGGTTTTTTAATGAAAAGTGTTTTCCTAGGTAATACCCAGCTGGCCCTACAGATTATCAAGAGGAACCAGCTGCTCCCTACAGTGAAAACCCACTCTGAAGTGAGAAAGAAGCCAGTGTTTCAGCCTGTCCACCCGATCCAGCCCATCCAAATGCCAGCCTTCACCACCGTGCAGAGGAAGTGAGACTTTGCTTTGGGGAACTGTTACCTGAAACCAGGGGAGTCCTTGCTGGCTTTTCAGTTATCTCATAGTAAAGTGAGTAAAGAAAACCCTGACATGAAAAGTGCTCGTTTCCAGGACAGTTTCAAACTGTTCTCCCCTGCCTGGATCTTTATCAGGAACTCCCTGAAAATTAAGGATTCATATACCCACTTCAGTTGTTTTTCTTTAAAACTCTGCCAGACTTAATTTTGAACCATTATGTGATATGTCAATGTCACAGGCAATTAAAATATGATCTTATCAGAACAATTTTGTACAGTCTTTCTTACAACTGTTAGAATATTGGGAGCTGGAGAGATGGCTCAGCAGTTAAGAACACTGACTGTTCTTGCAGAAGACCTAGGTTCGAATCCCAGCACCCACATGGCAGCTAATAACTGTAACTCCAGTTCCAGGGGATCCAACAGCCTCTTCTGTCTTCCACAGGCATTGCACCAACACGGGTGCACTTACCTACATGCAGGCAATACACATAAATACACATAAAATAAAAATAAATACCACCTGTTGGGATATTTTAGCATCAGGTTTAATGTTAAACCTGAAAAAAAAATTAACAAAAAAACCCCACCAGCCATACTCAGGTAGCCAGTCTAGAAGCTGACCTTGCAGTAGAGGGGGGCGAGATAAAGTTGACTTACTTTATCTCTGGTTATGACTCAAAGGACTGGAACATTCATGAACATGATAGGTATAATTGGGTTAAAAGGAGTTGACTGATCTATTAGGAATCATTCACTTTAAAGTGACTGACAAACTGCTCACTGCTCTGTCCTGGTACCACTGTAGTACTTTATGAATCAGGAGGTATAGGTGGTAGGATCCAGACTTCTTCAAGATCATCCTCATCTACATATCAAGCTCAAAGCCAACCTGGGCTATGTGAGACCCCATCTCCAAAAAATAATGCGTTTAAAAAGCTTCTTCCCAAGATACAAGTGTTGTATGTAGGATTGCCATTACCAAAATTTGCTAGTAGGCCATGTACACTAATTTTAGGGTAAAAATACTACAGGTGTGCTTTAGAAAAATTGGGTCACCCCCCTAGTTAACATGGTGGCATTGGGCAGATGCTTTCCACCTTGGAATAGGCAAGTGTAAGCACTCTCTAAGCCTCCTTGCTTCTTGGGCTCTGCTAGAGAAGTGAGTGTTTGCATAAGCACACCATGTGTCTACACCTGGATCTGAATGGCTCTCTTACTGACATCAAACAGTGTAAGTAACGACACAGTGAAATGGAAGTGTTTGGGGGATTGGCTTGTGTTTTTGTTTAGTTATTATTATTATTATTATTTAGTTACATGATGTGTGTATATGCCACATGTGTGTGGGTGCTCACAGAGGCCAGAAGAAGGTGCCAGGTCCCCTGGAGCTGTGAGCTGCCTGGCATAGGTGCTGGGAACTGAGCTCCAGTCCTCTGGAAGAGCACCAAGCACTCTTACACCCACTGAGCCGTTTCCAATCTTGGTTTTGACTTTTGGTTTTTGGTTTTATTTTGTTTTCTTTGTTCTGGTGTGTTTTTTTGGGGGGGGGGGTTCTTTTTTATTTTGATTTCTTTTTATTTTATATGTATCAGTGTTAGGCATGCATGTGTACAAGTGTATCTGTGTCATGCAGTGCCAATGGAGGACAGAAGAGGGCCACCACTTTTCATTCACTGAGCTATCTTACCAGAACCCTGTTTTGGGTTTTTTGTTGTTGTTTTTAATTTATTTTTATTTTATGTATATGAGAGTTTTGTCCTCATGTATGTAAATATACCCATGCATGCAGTACCTGGGAAGGTCAGAAGAGGGCATCAGAACTCCTGTAACTGGAGTTACTGATGGATGAGTGCTGGGAACTAAGTCCAAGTCCTCGCAAGAGCCTCCATCTCTCTAGCCGTGCTTGCGCATCTGCCTATTTTGGTTTTGGTTGGTTGGTTGCGTTTGTTTGGGGGGGGGGGTTGTTTTGTTTTTTTTGTTTTTTGGTTTTTTTTTGGTTTTTTTTGGTCTTTTTGAGACAGGGTCTTCCTGTAACTGCTGGCCTGGAACTCACTATGTAGACCAGGCTGACCTGGAACTCGAAGAGATCCACCTGCCTCGCCCTCCAGAATGCTGGGATTAAAGGCGTGCACCACCATGCTGGGCTTGTTTATTTGTTTTTAAGAAGTTAAAAAGCCAGGAATAGTGGCACACACCTTTAGTCCCAACACTCTTGGAGGTAGAGGCAGGTAGATCTCTGTAAGATAGAGGCCAGCCTGGTCTGTAACAAGTTCCAGGCCAACTGGGGTTACAGGGATACTGTCTCAAACATACCCAAAAAAAGGGACTGGAGAGATGGCTCAGTGGTTAAGAGCACTGGCTGCTCTTGCAGAGGACCCAGGTTCAGTTCCCAGCACCCACATGGTGGCTAACTACCATCCATAACACTAGTTCCAGGGGATCTGGCACCCTCTTCTGACCTCCACAGGCATTGTACTACATGTCTATACTGATATGGGTGTAGGCAATACATTCATACACATAAAAATAAATAAATCTTTTAACCGGGCATGGTGGTACACGCCTTTAATCCCAGCACTCGGGAGGCAGAGGCAGGCAGATCTCTGTGAGTTCAAGGCCAACCTGGTCTACATAGCAAGTTCCAGGACAGCTGGAGCTATAGGGAGACCCGGTCTGCTGGGGTTACAGGGAGACCCTGTCAAAAAAAGACCAAAATAATAAATAAATAAATAAATAAATAAATAAATAAATAAATAAATAAAATCTTTTTAAAAGAGTTATTTTTATGTGTGTGAGTGTTTGTATCCAAGTAGGTCTGTGTACTACATGTGTGCAGTTCTGCAGAGGCCAGAAGAGGGCAGCAGATCCCCTGAAACTGGAGTTATGGAAAGATGTTAGTGCTGGGACTTGAACCTGGGTCCTCTGCAAGAGCAGCCTGTGCTCTTAACTGCTGAGCCATCATCCCCCATCTCCCACCCCTCCATATCTTCCCTCACACACACCTTTTTGGTTAAGACAAGTTCTCAGTCTATAGCCCAGTTTGGTCTGCAACTCACTGCAAACCCCATGCTGTCCTCAAACTTGTGGCAGTTTTCCTGCTTCAGCATCCCAAATGCTGTGATTACAGGCAAGAACCACCACATTTGGCCTACAAAAAGTTTTCACTTATTATTTTTTATATGTGTGAGTTTCATCTGCATGTAGGCAAGTGCACCCTTGTACAAAGCCTGCAGACACCAGAAGAGGGCATTCGATCCCTTGGAACTGGAGTTATGGACAGTTAGCTGCCAAGTGGGGTGCTGGGACTCGAACCCAGGTCTTCTGGAAGAACAGCCGGTGCTCTTAACCACTGAGCCATCTTTCCAGCACCTACAAAAGGATTTTTTAAAATTATTTTTTTAATATTATTTTTCATTTTATGTGTATGCATGGATTACCTGCATGTAGGTAAGTGCACCCGTGCAATGCCTTCAGAGGATAGAAGAGGCTATCAGATCCCCTGGAACTGGAGTTATGGACAGTTATTAGCTGCCATGTGGGTGCTGGGAGTCAAACCCAGGTCTTCTGCAAGAGCAGTCAGTGTTCTTAACCGCTGAGCCATCTCTCCAGCCCCTACAAAAGGGTGTTTTTTGTTGTTGTTGTTTTTCTCTTTTGGTCTTTTTGAGACAAGGTCTCCCTGTAGCCCCAGCTGTCCTGGAACTCACTATGTAGACCAGGCTGGCCTTGAACTCACAGAGATCTGCCTGCCTCTGCCTCCCAAGTGCTGGGATTAAAGGCATGTGCCACCACGTCTGGCAACCAAAGGGTTTTAAATGCCACTTGTAATGTTTTTCCTAAGTTTCTGTGTGTGTATGTATGTATGTATGTTATATATAAACATGTATGCCAATACACACACCTGTTTGTGCACCTACAGGGGCCAGAGGAAGATGTCATATGTCTTTCTCTTACCACCTTCTGCCTTATTTTTTGAGACAGGGTCTTTCATTGAACCTGACACTCAACAGTGCTCTGGCTGCCAAGAGAGCTCCTGGGATCTGCCTGTCTGCATTCTCCAATGCCTGGGATCACAGGCGCATGTGGCCATGTCCAGCAATTCATGAGGGCTAGGATTTGAAATCTCTGGCTTTCATAGAAAGCATTCTTTTCTTTTTTTTTTTTTTTTTTTTTGGGCAGGGGTCTCCCTCGCTCCCCCGCGGCCCTACAAGCCCCTGCCCCCTACCTTCTAGGAGGTGATGGATGGATCTATTCTTCCATCCTCTGAGGATTTATGACTTTAATATTTTTCCTTCCCTGTCATTTTAGCAGGATTTTAAGAAGGACTGGAGATAGATGCTTGTGATTAATCTGCCATTGGTGGATTCTAATGGCCCCTTGAATCAAATTAAATTGTCAGCTTTAAGGCCCATGATAATTTCCCTTTCATGCCTAGACCCTGCCTTAGTCTGCCATAAGCACATACCACAGATGGGGTTGAGCATGGAACTTGAACAAGGGAAATTAATTCTCACAGTTCTAAGGAGGCTGGCACATTCAAGACCAAGGTGCTGCTGATTTTATCCCTTCTTAGCTGTCTTCTTGCTGTCCTCATAGGGTGGAGAGGAGGGAAATGAGGGGAAGGGATTCTGGTGTCCCTGGCTTTCATAGAAAGCATTCTTTTCTTTTTTTTTTTTTTTTTTGAGACAGGGTCTCCCTGTAGTCCCAGCTGGCCTAGAAGTCACTATGTAGATCAAGCTGGCCTTTATCTCATAGAGATCTGCCTGCCTTGGCCTCCCAAGTGCTGGGATTGACATGGTGCCTTTGCCACCATGCCCAATGAAAGCATTTGTAACACTAAGCCAATACCCTCCCTCCCTCTCTTTTTCCTCCCTCCTTCCTTCTTTCCTTCCATCTCTCTGTAGCCCCAGCTGGCATGGAACTCACAGAGTGCCTGCTTCTGCTGGGATTAAAGGCATGTGCCACCAGGCCCAGTCTTGGAACTCATCATGTAGACCAGGATGGCTTCAAAGTCAAAGAGCCACCTGCCTCAGGTTTCTTATTCCTGTCTTTCCTGACAGAATTTTTCTTTCTTTTTTTATGTGTGCATGGTTTGTTTAAGTCAGGGTCTCACTCTACTTTCTCTTGTTTATTTGGTTTTTGTTCTGTGTTGGTTTTTACTGGTGTTGAGAATTTAACCCAGGGCCTCACACACACATTAGACCTACCACTGAACTATATTGCCAGCCCTTATTTTGTTTTTGATGTGTGATCTTACTCTGTTGC